GTGCTGCTCTTCTTCAAGAACTTACAACTGTTCTTGCAGAATTTATGAACTGGAGAGTAGTGGCAAACAATGTGCATCACCCCAAATGCAGTTTTCTGTTGAGCTGTACAAATGCTTCCAGCAGCACATCATGAGGGTCCTGTTTTTCCCAAAGCTTTAGGATGTTGTGTTGACATAAATACAGGTGGTACTGCTGTGTGAAATAGGTCAGGGAACCAAACTGACTTAAATAGCCTGTGCAGAAAGAGAAAGTCAGCTCAGTGTTTTAATCTCTTCCACAGAACAGCTCCACGAGCAGTTGTGCTTCTGCAATCAAGGCAGCAGACAGAACGGAGACAGGAAAAGGTGATGCCTCAGCTGAAGTGAACAACTCAGGGTAGGTGGATATCTTAAACCTTTACTGCTGCAAAAGACTGTGATGTAATTGTGGTTTTGGTAATGTCCAGCGTCTTCAAGATGTGAGTTAATTTTTGGGTTCTGGAAATCTTCCATGTCTGCCCTGGTAGGAAAATGTTAATATTGATTGTTTATGGAGCAAAGTGTCTGGATAAGCACATAAGCTTTCTATGGGATACTCTGAAATTATTTGTAGGAAAAAAAAAACGTGTTGTCTTTTGAGTTCTTTGTCAATATTTGTAAGAGTTGTTTGTTTGTGATTATCTCCTGCTGAATATGCTGGGATTTACTTTGAGGTGATATTTTGGTTCAAGTGCTAAAGGAGCAGCTACAAAATACCTTGTGCTTTGCAGTGCTCTAAGCCAGCTGTTCTGTAATTTTCAGCTTCAGTTACAAGGCCAGACCTAGATCATGGCCCCAATCCCAGTGTTTTGTTATCAGCTGTGCAGGGTTTATTGCACTTAATTCTCTTGCCAGTAGGGACTTGCCTTCTGTCTTTCATCAGAGAATGATGGACTTAGAGCAGCCTTAGCCAGGTAAGGGCTGTCTCAGCTTTGGGCCGTCCCAGGTGTGAAGCGGCATAAAAGTGCTTGGGAGACTCTTCATCCGACTTTATCCTCATCCCATGTTGTAACACTGTCACTTTGTCATGAACTCTAGAAACTGCCATTGGGAAATGGGAAAGCAACAGTGCAAGTGAGAAAGTGGGACTGCTTTTCTCCTCAGTGCTGTTAAAGTTTGCAAGTTGGTAAGAATTTGTCAGATAATGAAGCTTTGGATTGTGTACTTGTTGTCTGGACACTTGTGAAACAAACTAGCAACTGTAAGGATCTGGTATAACTGGAACACGTTTTCTTATGGAAGGATGGGTGTTATAACAGTAATTCTCTCTTCATGGCAGCAGCTCTAGCACAGGGGGCTGTGCAGCTTCTCTTGCTCTGGCTCCTGCTGGGAGAGATGTTTGAATGCTGGTTTCTGTGTGGGAAGTTCAGCCATCCCACGTGTGTGTGCCATGAATAGCACGTGCTGGTGATTTGGGGAATTATCCCAGAGCTGTGTTTCTACCGAGTGTGTGACCAGTGATTCCCAAACATTCCTGCGGTGCTGCAGCTTCAGCTGGATGTCTGGCAGCTCTGCAGAGGCCGCTGGCAAAGTGGAACAAATGCTCTGTGCTGATGGGTGATAACAGCGGAGAGGGAGGGGGATGTTGATGTCCCTAAGGAAACCCGCAAAGCACCAGTCCCTGTCCCCTGGTTGTGTTCCTGAAGGCCTGCACTTCACTCTGAGCGCTGCCATCCTCACATATTTTCTTTCAGCCACACTGAACTTGTGTCTTCCCCTCTACTTCAGCAATGCCAGCACTTCGGAGAATGAGGCTGTTTGCTGAGGGCTTTATATTTCCATTTCTGTATCTGTGCTTAGGCCCTTGCATTGAAAATGCTTAATGTTTACTAAAATTATTAATTAGTACTTGCAGTTCTGTGCTTGCTGGTCTGTGGTTTGCAATACTGGGTGTGGAATCCAACAGAGGAGGTTGTGAGCATAACTTCAGCGTCTTTTGCCTTTAAATAGTATTTCAGATGTAGGCAGCCTGAGAGTGCCTTGTGATGATTACTGTGATCTAAGTAACAAAATCCCATTGACACTATAAGCTCAGGCTTCATTCAAAAAACCTGCTAAAGTCTATCACATCAAGAATTTGTTAATATGTTAATTGGAGTTCCTGAATTTCCATTTATGGAAGGAACCCAATGGCTTGGTTAGAATCATATGTTGTGGCAAAATTTAGAACTGTCATCTTACTGTGGCTGTGATTATCCAGTGGCTCTTGAAACAGGGAGAGTATGTCAGTTTTCTCAACAATAATACGTTCCTTTTTTCCCTGCATAAAATGGCACTTGCAGCTATTGTACCTGCTGGAATAAATACACGTGCCCTGCAAACAAAATCATTTCTTCTACTGACATGGAGACCTTTTGTCACCTTCAAACTGGAGCACATGTTTGTATTAAAATCCTCTAGGAACAGGTGATGTCTCTGAGCACAGCTCCCCAGCCCTGGCTGCAGAGAGCTGGCAAAATGCTGCCCCACTGCAGTTCCAAAGAATGTGGCCCCACTTGGAGACTGCTCAGTGTCAAAATATCCTGTAAATGCCAGAGTGCAACACTTAACAGAATTCTCCTGCTGCTCTGTGCTGAAGTACCTAGGCACAATATGAATTAAAGATGAAGGAAAAGGACACAATTTAAAATTTTTGTTGTGTTGTATAAACCGAAATAAAACTCTTCGTGGTCTTTGAAAGTATTTTTTGTTTCAATACAGTGCATGTTTCAAATCAGAAAGCGTCTCCTTTTTTCCTTTTGCCTCAAAGGCAGGGGGTCTAGGACATTTTAATAGCTTTCATATCCTACCCTGCAAATATATTATTGCAGCACAATAGTTTCTTTGCATGAGAATTGCTTAAATGATTCAAAAAAGGTTGAAAAATATATTTCAAGTTTTAATTTTATGCACAGAACATTAATGAGCAGTGCCCCTTAGAGACTTGCTGTCAGTTTAACATATTCACAATAATCTCAACACAGATGTTATTCCATCTAAATCCTTTTAGAGGGAAGAAACCAGTAATTTTTCCTTGAAGAATGTCAGAAAATATGTTATTGTTGAAATTACATTTTGATCCCAGAATGCTGTGTGAAAAATCATTGCTGGGAAGAATAAGTAGCACATTGTTTCTGAGGTAAAATGCATGTGAAACTTTTTTTTGAACCTGCTGTAAATTTTAAAACAAGTCAGTGTTCTGTTAGTCTCATGCAATTCTGCTTCCCTCGAGGGTGATTGCAGGTGATGATGGAATATCAGCATCTAATTGTATTCTAATTTGAGAGTGTTTGTTATAAGTTCAGATTTCTCTATTTGTAGCTGTAATGTGATGAAATGATTCTCTCTTTTGGATACGTTTCCCTGTGCATTCTCTGAGCACATAAATTAGAATACCTGCTAGAAAGAAAGGACATACTTGCAATAACAGTGCCTGTTGAAAAATGCTCTCAGCTCTCTCCCTGTTGTGTCCTCTGTGATTTGTCTGTATTTTCTTTATTTGGTGCACTCACAGTGGGCTCTGCCTGTCTGAGCACAGCTCTGCCAGTGAAATGGTGCTGACACAATAAGAGGGGGAAGGTTGTAAATGTTATGTTGATAAATACTGGAGGAACTCTTCCTGTTCCACTTCATCTTACCCAAAGCTGGTCATCAGTGGAGAAGCTGTAGGTGGTTACCTGGACAGAGTGTTGATCAGGGCTGTGTCAGGAATGGGAAAGAGCACCTTTAGGGAAGTGTTGGAGGACTCAAAGCAGTGGCTCTGCAGTTTTCCCAGGTTCTAAGAACTCTTCTCTGACTCCATAAATAAGAGAATAATACTTCCAGTTGCTGACAGCAGAGTGCACAGTGCATCCCAGCTCTGTGCAAGGACAGCTGGTTGGGGTGAGTCCCATCGGGGTTTTGAAGCTGTTTGGTGGAGAGGGGGGTGAAAGATGGGGTTGCACGACCGAAAAGCAGAAGGAAAATTGCCGGTTCCAGTCAAAGAAGTGCCTCAGGCTCTTCTTGGGGAAGAAGTGCAGCTCCTCCAGCCACTTGGGGGGTTCTATTGACAGAACCAAAGGTTGCAGTTGGGTAACACAGAAAGGGAGATCTCAGTTTGAGGGCTGAAGAAACTCTGTTTGTGAGCCCCGATGCACAGAATGGCAGGGGGATGACTGGGGGAACCTTCAGGATAGTGCAGTGGAATATCCTTTCTGACCACATCTTTATCTCGTAGAAGCAAATATCTTGATGCCAAAAAGCTTTGCATTTCTCCACTTTGCTGGTAAAGGTGCTACAGAGAGAATCACTGTTCATGTGATGACATAAAATAGTTACAAAACTGTAAGCAAACACAAAGAGAGGCAAAACTTCCAACCACAATTGCTGGGTTGAAGTAGCATATATGTTACTTGAAGTAACAAGCCTGGAGAGTGAAATTCCTTTCCTCTGTGGAATACAAAGAGAAAGAAATGCATTCAGCAGCAATCTGTTGTTTTAATAGTAGCTGCAGGAGGCCTGGGGATTTAAATTATTCACATTGTCATACTCTTGTCTGGGTTCATCCTGTTTTATACTTAGTTGCATTCAAAAAGCTCAATATTTAGATGTGTACACTGTGTGTAACGTTGCCATAGTGGAGAAGGGTGGTACAGTGGCTGCAGTAAAAAAAGGACCAGCTTGATCTATTTTCCCAGTATAAATAGTTTTGATATTGAGAAAACATAGGATGTTGGTGTTAAATTTAGGTTAGAGCGTTGTTGCCTTTGTTTATCCTGAAAGTAGAAAGTATTTTTTTTCTGTTATAGATTTGGAAAAAGGTTTATTGTTATCAATTACTTTATTCAGGGTTTGGTAGCTTCTTTGATTTGCTGCTCCTTATTTAAACTGCACCCTTAAAATTATCCTGAGCAGGTTCCTTCCTGTAAGGAAAATCAGTGTTTAAATAGGTGCTGTAACATAATATATGCAATAAAAAGGCAACTGATTAAGCATCTTAATGTAGCTATAGACTTTGGTTTAATAGTTCTTTGACTAACCCAGATTATGACATATAATTTGACACATACACCTCCCAATTCAATGAAAACCTCTTTCAGTAACATGTTAAATAGTGCCCACTCATGCAGACTTTCACATTAAAGTAATTATGGGGGAGGGGGGAAATTGTAAGAACAGAAAGAAAGTTTACTCTTCCTCTTTATAGTGAAAACAAATGTGTTTTTCTCCAGAATCTGCCAAGCCTGTGTTTTAATGATTTAACAGATGGAGTTGGCACATGTGAACCTGGAAGATGCATCTGTCTGATTTTTCCAGTCTGAGGATTTTTTAACTGCATTAATGGCACAGACAATGGTAAAATATCACCTCCCCAGGCTGCTCTGCTCTCCTAACACATAATGTCTCTTAAGGAAAAAAAAAAGTGATAGGAGACTGGGGTGAGCAAAAGGCCAGAGAAATGAGGATTTGAAAAGTTTAATATTTTCTGTCCTCACCGCATTAAGCTTTTAAGCCTTTCACTGTGAATTTCATGTGTGTGGGGGGGGTGGAAACAGAAATTCTACCCAGACAACGTTATCTGTGATCTCAGGGTTCTGTTAATTAATTAATGGCTCCAAATAAACACCCTTTAAATAAGGAGACCAATAGCCACGAGTGTTTTGCGTTTTGAACTGCCTTGCTGGGTAGGAATCTGTGGGTTAAGTGCAGTGGTTATTTGCAGTGTCCTCTGGGGTGACCCACTGTGGTCCCTCCCAGGCTGAGCCATCCTGTGAGTGTCTGCAGTGCTCAGGATTGGGCTCAGTTCTGCAGGTGTCTCTGTAAGAAATGCCCTCTCCTGGGGGGGACGGTTTCCCTCTGTGTATCTGTCTCTGATTCCACACACGACACACCAGGATTTACTGACTGGTCTCATGAGAGATGGTACCTCTGTCTGTGAACTTTGCCTGGCCAGTGTTATTACATGGTGTGTTTACACTTCAGGGAAATCTGTTCCAAGTTGATGCAGGTGCTCCATCTGCACTTCCTGGTAAATGTGGAAGGAGGTAGAGCCTTGTGGATCTACAGGTGCCTTGTGTGGTTTCTTCCATCTCTGTTGTACTCCAGTCTTGATGTCCAAGACCTGTTAAATTATTGAGACAGCTTCTCCATTTCTTGGTGTTTTGCAGAGCTTACATGGCCTCAATTTATGGGCCTGATAATTAAGTATGTAGATGAAGTGAGCTATCAGTAAATTCCCCTTGCCCTGGGCTATCAACCATTTCAGGATTCAGCACCCTTTGGAAGTGCTTGCTTCAGCTCAGGCTGCCAGCTTCCAATAGATTCATAGCTTCTGGTTGTAGTTAGGTGGGTGTAACACTGCTTTTACTATCTCTCATGTAAAGTACATAAATAGGAGGGTTTCACACAGTTTAAAAAAAAAAAAAAAGACTTGAGCCAGTGCAGATTCAAACTTATTTGAATAGTCTGATCCCTGATTCACGGAGATAGAAACATGGAGATAGAATAAATCTCTTCATTTTTAAAGAATTGGAGAGGAGCACTAAAAAACTGCCTTCAGAAGCACTCAAGTCCCAGAAAGAAGGTCCCAATTCTCTGTAAGTCTGGGACACTGAAAGTATCATTGCGTTAACCAAGGCAAACATCACTAGAACTATTTGTTTTCTTAACGCCCTTTCGTATTTTAACAAATGCCTGGGATAATTTCCTTCCCCATTTTAAAGTTGGATTAATCAGTTCGTTGTGTTCTTTCTTCAGAAGGAAAATGTGTTACTGCTATCCCTTGGTATGAGTGACATATGGGTTCTGCTGAAACGATAGAACGTCCTTTCATTCAGCAAAACAAGAATTGTGCCTGGCACTCCGTCCCTCTGTGCTGCTCTTCCAGCCAGATTTCATTTGCAGGAGGGTTGTATGTGTGAGAAGACAATCCACTAAGACCCTCCTTATCAAACCCAAAGCCTTCTCTCAACACGTTGAGAATGAACGTGGTACTTGTTGCTTTGCATCATGCTGAGTGTTTATTCTTTGTCACAGCTTGTCACAACACTATTAATTAGGGGCAAATATTTTAGGGATCCTTTGTGTGTCACATACATTTTACCCCTCCAACAAATTCCAAACTGCAAGTGTGTTGCCAGGTCAGGATTTTTTATTAGCTTTAAATTCCTTATTTAATTTTTATTCCCTGAACAATGATAGGTAGGATAGTATATTCATTTACATAGAAAGAGGAAGGTAATGCTCACTCAAAGTCTTTTCCACACCAAGCAGGCTGGGTCCCCTCAAACTCTGTTTGCAGGAGTGGCTGCAGTGCTGGTTGGTGACCTGGAGCTAAAAAGCAGGTGAATAAAACTGTCTTTCTGAGCAGTCTTATTGTCAAGACTCACTTTGAAAGTCTAATTGTACCAGAAAGTCAGGATTTGAAGCAGAATGAAAGGACAGATCCACGTGTGAGAAGTTCTTGATGAAAGATTTCCCAAATGAAAACATTACAGAACTTTGAATTCTCTGCAAATCAATTCCATCACCTGTGGAAGTCAGGGAGCCTTTCAGTGGATAAATCCATGAACATCACGTGCATCTGACACAGTGGGTGAAGTGCAGCTTTTAGGAACCTTCCAAGAAATGGAGGTTCTGCATCAGGGTGTGCCCAGATGTCCCTCGTGGTTGTTCAGAAACTGTTTGTACTCAAGCACAGATTTAGATTTTTTTAGTAATCTGTTTATTAATTTTTTTCCAAGGAATAGAACAATTTGTGTGGGGAAAAAAAAAGGTTATATAACCACCAGCTCCACGATCTTACAAACCTCCTATTTTTTATCAATGATGACAGCAAAACCAAGTTTAAAGTGAGTAAGTTTATTCCTCATATATAGACCAAATTGACAGGATTTTTTTTTTTTTTCAAATAGCTTGTATCAGCCTTAAAGTAATCTGTGATTCAAGACTTAAAAAATAAAAAGTAATAAAAATCCAAGTATTCAGGACTGGAACTTTATCTTGTGTTCTTTAAAATCTAAGTCCCAAGGAACCTGATGTCAGAGGGGACAGTTGGGTGTTACTGTACAGGCACCAGGTAAACCTGGCGCTCATTGTCAGTAGCTCCTTGTTTTAGCACCAGGCCAGCACAGCAGCTCACTCTGCTTTTAGTCATGAACTGCCCCTGACGTAAGAGAAGTGACCAACTCTCTCATCGTGACATTTTGGTTGCCATCTCTGTGGTGCTAAACACTCTGAGAAGACAAATGCTCTCTGCAGCACCACGTGTGGCTGAGTGCCTTTAAGGAGTAGAAAGTGCTAAATGACCTTTCATCACTTTAATCACTTGACTGGGTAGAAAATTTTTTAATGAAGGTCACAACTCGAAAAATATCATAGATGAGAGTGTAAGTGGCGTGTTCCTGACTCTTATGTGCTCCTGATGCTGATCTAAAAAACACTCTCTTTTTCCTTAGAAGATAATACTTATAGTTACAGGATTTTAATGTACTGTGTGGTATCAGATGGTGAAGACTGGTGATTCTTTAAAGCAGGGGTTGGAGTAGAAAAAAAAAAATCAGAATTTAAAGACTTTCTCTGTGCCTGTTGTTTTTGTAGTGTGGTTGAACACCTTTAATGCTGTTCCCAGTGTATAAAATAAATCATTGGTATAATTGCTAGTGTTCCTGAAGGCTGGTTGTGGCCTTTAGGAACTGGGCCAGAGAACATAGTCAGTTTGACTGTAATCTGCTTTTTGAAAATGGATGTTTGTTGGATTTCCTTGTGAGGGAGGGAACTGCAGTTCCATCCCCACCTGACGCCTGGGTGGCTTGTCCCTGTAATGACAATGTGAAGCCTCCTGGGTGATGTTTCTGTGGGCGTGAATCGAGTGATTCTCTCATCCTTGTTGAAAACAGAACAACTGTGAGTGGGGAGAAAAGGCAAATTCCTCAGTTGGGAGATTAGGCTTTCATAAGAGGCTGGGAGGGAGCCATTTAATAAATTTTAGGCTGATGACCTTTCAGAGAGAGGCTTGGAAGGAGAGTAGAGATTAGAGGTTTGGCTTCACATCCAAGTAGAGTTGCTTGGTGTAATCCTGCAGGGAATAAGTAATTGCTTACAAGGGTATTGGAGACTGAAGAAAGAATATGATATATTGAAATTATGTTAATATTTTTAGTTTGGAAGATTAGCTGGACTCAAAGTCTGTCCTCTCATGTGTAACTATAGAAGCTGAAAGTAAATTTATTCGACTGAAACATGGTTTTTCAGTTCTTTTGTTTTTTTGGAAGAGCAGGGAGTTGTCCACTGCTGTCAAAAAGATGATAAGCAAGAGTAAAAGATAAGTCACAAGTTAAATATTCAAGAGTAACAGATCTAAGGCAAGATGACATTCAGTTTTCAGAGATGGCTGAGCTCTTTTCTGTGCAACTCTGCAACTAGAAATACTGGAGCCTGTAGTGCTGAGACCTCGCTGTTTTTGCACACCCCTCCACCTCTGCTTGCCGTGGCATTCCAGCATGGGACCACGCTGGTAACTCCTGGCTTTTGTCCAGCTCCATGATATGGAAGTGCCTGCACTCTCCTTTGGATCTGCTCCTTTCTGATCTTCCAGGACTCAGCTCACACGAGCTCATTTCACAGGACCACCTTCCCCTGTACTTTGAGAGTCCTTAGACTGCAGTTTGAGAGTTGCTTTGTTGTTCCCCCTTTAATTGGTGCAGTGAAAGCAGAGGCATCAATATTAAACATCAGAAGGCAGTTTTCTAAGTAGAGCATCTGATGAGGCACGTGAGGGTGTTGCAGGGAAATAGGTCTGTGCTGGCATTAATAAATGAAAACAGCCCACCCTGTTTGAACAGAGACAGATGAAGCATCTGCATCCTTGGTGATTTGGATGCTGGCAAAGAAGCCTTGTTTGTCAGTCCTCTGACTTCAGACACTTTCTTACAATTTCCATGGAGCAGAATATGCACCAAAGAAAAAGGCAAAGTCTGTTTTTTATTTCTCTGCGTATTGGGCAGGAGGACAGTGATTTGTATCCAGACACATCACATTGTTACTCAGGCAGCGCAGCACCACGAAGTGTGAGAGGCCTTGGAAGATGAAAATGTCTCTGTGGGACAGTCACTCGGGGGGAATTCATTTATCAGTTTGTACCGTGCCTGTCCAAGTCAAATCAGAGCAGCAGCAATCCCAACATCTGTGGTGCGTGCCCTTACTTTTTAAAAATCAAATATAAACAGAAGCAGCAGGAGTCCTGTTCCTGAGCTGAAATCTCTGAGCTTTGTCATAGTGTTATTAATGTTTTGTGTGGTGACTGCTGCTCTGTGACGTTTGGGAGTTGGGTTTCAGAGGAGCTCCTGCAAATGTTGCCTTTGGTTCCTGTGCTGTGTAAATTCAGTCCTTTTGCATCACTTTCCAAATTGTACTGTCTTTTGTAGCTTCGAGTGGACCCGGGCTGAAAGTAAAATGGAGTAAAGTTTTCATCTGGTTCTGCATGAAAGTCACGTGTACCTGAATTTTACAGACTCAGCACAAAACTGCAAGGCCTTGAAATTTGCTTAAGTCACACACTCAGCAGAGCTCTGTAGAATTTAGTGAAGTCTCTTTACTCGGAGTTTGTCACCTAATTTGGAAGTTTAATTACACTC